CTCCACCAACAATCCTACCCTCCAAGTCTTGAGGAACATAGGTTGTTCCACTGATTTTACCCTGCAGGCGTCCCCTAGAGCTGAGAGAGACATACGGTCTCCCAAAGAAAATTTTTCAAAATTTCTGTGTTTCCTGCCAAAAATGCACACACCTCATACAATACCCTGTAGAAACTGTAACTTGTGGCACCCCCTTGGTTTTTAGGTTTCAAACAGTCATAAAGGACCCTGCCTTGTGGCACTATGCGCTACCAGTGGGAAAGCAGCTTTCCAGTGAACCTGAGAGGTGGAAAAAGTGGGTGGACAACTGTATATCCCAAAGATCATGAAAGAAGAAGCCAAGGAGTTTTTCAATGTTTACTCACAAAAAAATGTAGCCCCTTGAATATGTATTCCCCAAACATAATAAAAGAGGCAAAATAAATGGGTATTTGAAAACATTCAAAAGAAAAAAATGTTTTCATACACTCACCTGACTGATTGAAAATTTTAAGCAAAAATATTTGCATAGCAGGCGAGTTTTAGAGTAGGGAGAGATCATTTGCTTATACTAAGAATAAAATGAACATGCTTAACCTAGGTTCAGAGAACCACTGCTAAATGAGAAAAATTAATGGGATGAAAAAAGGGAAATAAAGTTTTAAAACTACGAGCCTATTAGAACCTGTGTTTATGAAGAGGATTTTACTCAATGCATAAAATTTTGCTTTAAAATGATCGGGGCATTGCTATGTATTTTATTGTTCAAGGGCCAGTATAATTCTTGAGAAAATTTATACTTTTAGTCTTTAAATGATTATAGCATATATAGTTGGTAAATCTATCTATTCTCCTAAACCTGGAGCCCTGGTGGTGCAGTGGTTAAGAGCTTGGCTGCTAACCAAAAAGATTTGCAGTTTGAATCCACCAGCCACTCCTTGGAAACCCTAGTCTGTTCTAGTCTGTCCTGTGGGGTTACTATGAGTTGGAATTGACTTGACGGCAACGGGTTTTGTTTTGTTTTTTTTTGTCTCCTAAACGTCCATGTTGTGGCCTATATTAAGAAACATTTATTTTGACGAATGTTTCCTACATATGAAAGAAATTTAAATGAAGCCATTTAAAATATATGGCAGTGTGAGTTAGCATATGGGCACATGTGGAAAAAAGACTGGCAAGAATATAAATGTTAAGCAGAAGGAACAAAATACTAAATCCTTTAAATGGACCTTGAAAAAATTTGACTTTATGAACTTGAAAACAGTACATATGACTTCTAATTTCAGAATAGCAAAGTAAAGGTGTTATGGATTGGATTGTGTCCCCCAGAAATACATGTTGCAAATCCTAACCTCAGTGCCTATGGTTATAATCCCATTTGGGAATGGGTTGTCTTTGTTATGTTAATGAGGTGGGATTAGTGTAGGGTATATCTTGAGCCAATCTCTTTTGAGATATAAAAGAGATTAAATGCAAGCTAACATGGAGAGACAGTATAAGAGAGATGCCAAGCCACATGAAGATTGCCCAGGAGCTGAAGCTCAGAAGAGACAAGGACCTTCCTCTAGAGCTGACAGAGAGAGAAAGCCTTCCCCTAGAGCCAGCACCCTGAATTTGGACTTGTAGTCTCCTAAGCTGTGAGAAAATAAATTTGTTTGTTAAAGCCACCCACTTGTATTTCTGTTGTAGCCGCACTAGATAACAAAGACAGAATTTGGTACCAAGAAGTTGAGAGTGCTGCTCTAACAGATACCTAAAATGTGGGACTGGTTTTGGAATTGGGTAATGGGTAGAAGCTGGAAGATTTTTAAGGTGCCTAATCGTAAAAGCCTAGATTGCCTTAAAGAGACTGTTGGTAGAATTATAGACATCAAAGGAATTCTGGTGAGGGCTCAGAAGGAAGTGAGGAGAGCTATACAGAAAGTCTCTATCATTTTAGAGAATACGTATGATGCCAGCAACAGAATTTTGCTAGAAATGTGGACGTTAAATGTGCTTCTTGTGAGGTTATGAAAGAAAATGATGAGCATGTGATTGAACAATGGAGAAAGGGTGATGCTTGTTATGCAGTGGCAAAGAACTTGTTTTAATTACATTCAAATGTTTGGTGGAAGGTATAACTTGGAAGTGATGAACTGAGATTTCTAAGCAAGATCTTAAAGGGGCCACATGATTTCTCCTTGCTGCTTATAGTAAAATGTGAGAGGAAAGACAAAGACTTAAAAATGAACTGTGCAAAATGAAAACAGAACTTAAAGATTTGGAAAATTCTGTTGTACAAACTAAGGACACGAGTCCTAGAGGGTTCACCAAGAATGTGGCTACACAATTTTTTGATAAAGAGATTAAGCCTGTGACTGAGAATCTAACCACCTACCAAAACAGAAAATCCATCAGCTTAGACTGATGGGGACAGAGGAAGAAAGAAAGGAAAGAACACTGTCTGCCTCTTGGAACTCTACAGGCAGGAAACTGGCCAAAGGAGCTATGTCTGTTGTCCTCTAAGAAAAGAAAAGAACCGTCTCTGGAGCAGCTCGGTGATCAGCAGAACTGTTGGAAGGAACACGAGAAGCAGTACCTTCTAGATGTCAAAGGGTGGGGCCGCAGCCTTCTAGGTTTAAAAGAGTCAGATCTTCACCAGCTCGGTTCCAGAGTGTGGGCTGTAGTTAAGGAGTGCTGCGGGATGGGGCTGCTACCCAAAACTGAAGGGGCGGGGCTTATTTGCTCAAGGGGCAGAAGAATGGGGCCTGGCAGTGCCGAGGGGGTAGGATCACCACTCAGAGGGACTAGGAGAATGGGGCCACCCAAATCTGAGGGAGCAAAGTTGACTCTCCAGTGGGCCTGGAAGGCAGAGCTAAAACCCAAGGCCGAGGAGCCTCCACCCAGAATCTGGAGAGTGTGGCCAATACCTAGAGTCCAGATGGCAGGGCCACTGGCTAAATGGTCTCAGAGAACCAAAGATTATTTTCAAGCCTTGCAGGCTAATGTAATGTGTTCTGCTGACTTTCTTGGTGCCTGTTACCCCTTATTTTCCTCCAATTTATCTCATTTGTAATGAAAATGTCTACCTTGTGCCTGTTCCACCATTGTACTTTGGAAGCAGATAACTTGTATTCTAGATTTCACAGGTTCGCAGATAAAGAGGAATTTTGCCCTAGGATGAAATACGCCTAAAACCTCTCCTATATTTGATTTAGATGATGCAGAAGATGAGATTTTTGACTTGGAGCTGATTTAAGACTTTTGAGATGATGTGATGGGGTGAATATATTTTGCATGTGGCAAGGACATCAAATTGAGGGCCAAAGATTGAAATATTATGGATTGAATTGTCTCCCAAAAATATGTATTGCAAATCCTAACCTCTATGCCTCTGGTTATAATCTCATTTGGGAATGGGTTGTCTTTGTTATGTTAATGAGGCAGGATTAGTATAGGATATATCTTGAGTCAATCTCTTTTAAGATATAAAAGAGATTAAACACAAGCTAGCAAGCAAGGAGAGACAGGGGAAGAGAGGTGCCAAACCACGTGAAGATTGCCCAGGACCAGAAGCTCAGAAGAGACAAAGAGCTTCTTCCAGGGCAATCAGAGAAAGCCTTTCCCCAGAGCCAGGACCCTGAATTCAGACTTCTGCCCTCCTAAACTGTGACAAAATAAATTTCTGTTTGTTAAAGCCACCTACTAGTGGTATTTCTGTTATAGCAGCACTAGATAACTAAGACAAAGAGTATTTCTGTCCTCTCTCAAAAATCACGTAAAAAAATAAGAATATGAAGAAATAGAAACACTGATCTACATGTTGACAAAAAGAAGAGCACCTATGACTCCAAACCACAGAGCAATGAAAGAAAAATGTTAAAATGACTCGGAACAGAGGAAGGTGAAACCCAAGTGCCTGCCAAAGGAGACAGCAATGGAAAGCAAATACATTTCACCCTGCAGAATATACCATGGACTGCCAGAAGAACAAACAACTCTGTCTTGGAAGAAGTACAACCAGGATACTCCTTACAAGCAAGGATGGCAAGACTTCGTCTCATGCACTTTGGACATGTTATCAGGAAGGATCAGTCCCTGGAGAAGGGTATCGTGCTTGGTAAAGTAGGGAGTAGCAAAAAGAAGAAGACGCTCGACGAGACGGATTGACGGAAACAGTGGCTGCAACAATGCACTGAAACATAGCAACAATTGGCGGGATGGCACAGGACCAGGAAGTGTTTTGTTCTGTTGTACATAAGGTTGCTATGAGTTGGAATCGACTCGATGGCAACTAACAACAGCAACATTTCTTGCCTACTATGTGCTGGCACTCTGACAGACGCTAAGAATACAGAGCTACATATAACACAATCTCTGGTCTCAAGTTTATTCTACCATTTAACCTCTTATTTCACATTGCCTTTGAAATAATTTTCAGATCATTCCCTTTTAATGTTTTTATTGACAGTGACCAGCTAATCAAAGACTCTAATGTAAATTATTGATTTATAATCAACAGAATCTTGTATCCATGTCGCAAATGTTTAATTTTAGATATTTTCCCAAGTCTTTTGAGAACTGTTCCTCTTTTTCTTTCTAACTGAAATAATTTTTAAGAACTCTTTTCTTAAAGGACCTTTAATATGCTTTATAAATAATTGCAAATTCATCTTTTCCTCAGTATTGCTTGTGGTGTATTTCTCATGTTCACTGAAGCAAGTTTGTAAATTAATACTAAATATGAAATGCTCTATAAAATGTTTCATTGCATATCAGATGAAAGCAATTATCCAGGAAGCTTTTTTATATCTGAGTCAGTCTTGCAAATCCACATCACCTACACTTTTTGAAGGGAAATAAGTCTTCTGATTTAAAAAGATACATTTATCTTAGAGAAGTTATTGCATCTGTTCCTATTTACTGTAAATCTACAGCTTAAACTGCTAATACTAGTGGTACACCTGAGTTTTAGTATTTGGATTCTGAGAGTATTAATCAATTTTTTATAATGTTTGGTTTCCTTATGTTTTTGTTTTCAGAGTACCCGAGTGGCCTTGGACCATCTGGAGTCTGTGCCTGAGAAACTGAGCCTACTAGAAGATTTCAAAGACTTCAGAGTGAGAAAGAGTTGGCTTGTCTCTTTCAGTATTTTTTTTCCTGTGTGAAAACTCTTGACATCTTCCTGATGCACAAAGAAAATTGGGGGGAGGGAGGAAGGACCAAAAAGCACTGGAGACTTTTATACTCCATCTTATCAGAGTTTACTGACATTTGTGAAGTCAGGATTGAAATTAATAGAATTAATATATTAGCACAATATAGGTAAATAGAGACTTTTGTATTTACTACTAGAAGCTCGTTTGCCCACCTAAAGCTTTAACTATAGTTCAGAAAGACCTAAGAATTAAAGAGAGTTGCACATTATGTTGACGATAGATAACTTTTTTGATTAGCGATTTTAAATTATGAACTGTCTTCTTTTTTTTTGATTACAAATTGCCAGGATACTATTTGTTTTAGAGATATGATAGTTCACAGGTTGTCCCTATAGTATCATATATGAATTCAAATCCGCATAGGGTATGAGTTATCATACCCCATGCCATTTATTCATAGAACTCTAACCACAAAGCATTTCATTATCAAGTCAATTAATTACATGTGTATATATTTACCCATGTAATTTTTAAAGTTCCTCATAAAGGAGAGATGCAAAGCAAATAACCCTGCTGTCCAGTCCTGCCAGACAAGGCCTTCATCCAAGGACGTCTCCACATATCCCTTTAGGGCTGCATTTGTAATGTGCAGTTTTTGTGATTTATAATTTATTGACCCTGTATGGCTGAAGGTAACAATGGTGAGGTTTTCTTTTTGGAAACCATTTAATCTCTTATTTCACATTGACTTTGAAATATAATTTATACTGTATTTAAGTTCTGTTTAAATCTAACGTGTTACTTAAGGATATAGTAAATAAGAATTATAACTAGATCATGTTATATTGATTTATTGAAAGCACTAATATGATGTGGCCCTGAGGGTCTACACTATCTTACAATTAACTTTCATTAAGCATCTTTTAGTAGTTTGGTAACTGAACATTTTTGAGTGAAATCTAAGCATAAGTAGACACATCTAGAAATCTAGACTAGTACAAATAGAACAAAACCAAGTACTCCTAGTATATTTTACTAAACTTTTATTTATCATGATTTGATTATATATTTGCAGTCTAAATTTTTATCAAGAGATTATGAAACAAGAATCTAAGTAGATGTAATTTCTACTGATACTTAATTAGGCCCGATGTGCATAGCAGGCAATATGTTATACCCATGTTCTTTCCCTTTTTTCGCTGTGGCTAACAGAAGTCACCTAAGTGAATGAAGGGCAGACAAGAGAAGGTACTGGAAACAGGTGGCCTTTGTCACTGACAAACAGATGCCTGTCTTATACCAGCACAAAAATATAAAGTTTAAAAATTGACAAACCACTGGCCAGACTGACAAAAGAAAAACAGAGAGGACACAAATAACCCAAATAAGAAATGAAATGGGGGACATTACAACAGACCCAACTGAAATACAAAGGATTATAACAGAATATTATGAAAAACTATACTCCAACAAATTTGAAAACCTAGAAGAAATGGATACATTTCTAGAAACACACGGCCTACCCAAACCACAACAAAGTGATGTTGAAAATCTGAAGAGACCCATACCAAGAGAAGAGATTGAAAAGATAATAAAAAAACTCCCAACCAAAAAAAGCCCTGGCCCAGATGGCTTCACTGGAGAATTCTACAAAACATTTAGAGAAGAGCTTGTACCAGTACTACTCAAGCTATTTCAGAGCATAGAACAGGAAGCAACACTT